AGAAAAGGAGATCCAAGGATTTTTAATCTTCTTCTGGCTAGGGAAGGGCACTGACACATGAGATGGAGTACAGTCTCCTCCTCATCCTCAGAGCCACTGCCTCTACAAAAGTCATTAAAGGGGAGACCCAGTCTCATAGCATGCCTTCCTATTACGCAGTGTCCCGTCAGCACAGATACCGTAGTGCTGAGCAGGTTCCGTCTTAGTTGAAGTAGCTGATGGGTTCTTTTCTTGTCAAAGTTCGGCCAAGTCAACCTAGAAATCTGACATTGAGGTTCGTCAGCCCAGTATTGCTTGGCTATACTCAGGTATTTTTATATGATTGCCAGTTTAACTGTAGCAAGAGGGACGCCTATATCAGAGAGGTTAATGTTAGGGAGAAGAGCACCTGCCTTGGCTAAATCGTCTGCCCTACAATTTCCTGTAATATCCCTGTGACCAGGAACCCAAATAAGTTTGACCCTAACAAACCTAGCTAGGTCATTTAGTGAAGCACTGCAGTCTTGAGTTGTGATTGATGTGGCTGAGGTGCCAATCAGTGATCTGATGGCAGCTTGGCTATCAGAAAAAATTGAGAAAGTGGGTACTTAATATTAAGTAAACTTCTTGACTTCACTCAGGATGTATTGAATTTAATACTTAACTAAGCTCATCTGTGATAACATGTTTAAATTAAATTTTAAATAATTAATTTTTCTTTTTTATACACATTTCTAAAAATATACCAAATACATCTTTACACACTTGTACAAAAATTCTCTTTATTAAAAATTAATTATTATTAATTTTAATAAAATTTATAGTGGCTATTATTAATTATGATCATTTGCTTTTTTACATGGGGCCATCAATGAATATCGGAAAAAACTGGGTCAAGTGATTTTTAGTGGCTCTCCGGCCGGTCATTTTTTTTACCAGTGAGAAAGTTTTGTGGAATCCGAACGAAATGACTGTCAGATGATGCAAGATCCGGACTGTGTAGTGGATACTTCAAAACATTCTCAGCAAGTTTTGTTAATTTGTTCCAAGTCATTAAAGAAATGTGTGGTCTGTTGTGTTGCCATGATGGAACACAACTGTTTCTCTGTCGTGTAATGTTGTGAGGAGTAGAGAACCGAGTTACCCATTACACCAAACTGGAAAAGTTCGTAATCGAAAATTCTGTTTCAATCCCATGAAATACTGAAAATCATCTTATTCGCTGTCAATACAGGCTTTGAAGTCATTTGTGGAGGGTCTCTAGCTTTTCAACTCAATCGCTTTCAATATATATTTTTGTATTTATTTTTTATCACTCGTAATAATTCGCTTAAAAATTATTCAATTTCATTTTGTTTGCTACTAGCATTGTACTATTACATAGCTCAATAAGTCGTACGACTGACAAACAGATGGCGCTGCCATTGTCAAATCCATATGACGTTTATGAAGTACCAACCTTCAGAAGATTATGTATAAAATTTCAAGACATTTCGATAAGTCAGGAAAAAGTGACAGCAGTTTAAGTGAAGCTACTTTTGTTACTTTCAAAATATGGATGGATTTAAAACAAATTCGTGTGTTCCTTTATCATTGCTTCTTGATGAAAAAAAATACTGTACAAGCTCAGCAATGGCTTCAAAAGTGTTATCCAGACTCTGCTCCATCGAAAAAAATCATTTGTTATTGGTTTGCTTGGTCGTACAGACACCGATGATGGTGAACGTCAAAAAAAGTGTAGAAATTGGTTATATCTGATCGTAAATTGAAATTACATGAGTTAGTTGAGACCGTAAAGATATCAGAAGGTAATGTGTTTACAATTATGCGTAAAGATTTGACCATGAGAAAGCAAATACGATCAACAAATACCATCAGAGCAGTATTTGTTGGCAATGTTTACACGTATTAAATCAGATTTTTTGCATCGGCAATGGATGAAACATGAATCCATCGCTTCACTCCGGAATCGAAACGATCATCATCTGAGTGGACTGCAGCCGGTGAAGCACGTCCGAAGCGTCCAAAGGCACAACAGTCAGCTGGGAAGGTTATGGCTTCAGTATTTTGGAATGCACGTGGTATAATCTTCATTGACTATCTCGAAAAGGGAAAAATCATCAATAGTAACTACTACACTGATTTACTGCATTGTTTGAAAGCAGAAATTGTGAAAAAACGACCGCATATGATGAAGAAAAAAATGTTGTTTCCTCAAGGCAATGCACCATGTCACAAGTCAATAAAAACGATGGCAAAATTGTACGAATTACACTACGAATTGCTGCCTCATCCTCCGTATAGTCCAGATCTCCAAAAAATGCTCGCCGGTAAGAAATTCATCTCAAATGAAGAAGTAATTGCTGAAACTAAACACTGTTTTGAGGTAAAAGACAAATCCTTCTACAAGCACGGCATCGAGAAGTTAGAGAAGCGTTGGAATGATTGTATTACCCTTGAAAGAGATTGATGAGTAAAATCGATTTTGGGCAGAAAAAATTTGTTTTTCTTAGTTAGTCAGACGATATATTGAGTGATGTGTTAGATAATCAAGATAGTTTATGTTAATTCATATGGTACACAAACACTGGACGTTTTTGTCGGCATTGCCTTCTTTAAATTTTTCCAAACTATTATGTGGTTGGTGTTGAGTGCCGTAGCTATCTTCTGGCAGTTGGCGTATCAGTCTTCCTTCATCAGTTGTAAAATTTCATTGACTTTTATAAAGACTTTTATAGTCATATATATGACAATACTAATAGATAGCGACTAAAAACGACCAAACCTTTTATATTACCTAAAGTATCTACCTAATACATAGGTATGATAGTACAGAGCTATATATACCCTTATATACAGGTATATAATGTACAGTGGTGGTTTTAGTGGGTTGAAGTCCCACACTGACTGGAGTTCCGATTGTTTTACACATCGTCAAAAAAAGAAAACAAAAAAAGTACATTACATTACTATTTACAATATTAATATGTTATTTAATGTTATGTCATGTTATTTACATTACGCTACATTACTCATATGCAAGATTTATAAGACTTTAACAATAATAATGCAGCATATTATCATGAAGCACACAAGAGCAAAAGGTCAAAAATACTATACAGTAAATTATATATTTTGGTTCAATTAAATTCAGTAAATTCTACAAACTGCAGACAATGAAATAATTTTTCTTGAACACGTGCTGCATTCAGAATTTAAGAAAATACATTGTATAACTCTCAAATCTATTTGCAAAGCACAGATATCACTGTTTTTATAAAATTACGAATAGGTGTTTAAATAAAATTCTATGCTTTACCATGTAATTATAACCCAACCGTGATTTTATTCTCGTCATATAATTATTTAAAAAAATTTTTTAGTATAAAATACAAGCTACTTGTCCAGTTCAACTTAATACAGTTTTTGAAATTGTAGGAAATAGTACATGAATTATTAAAATGGATTCACTAAAAACATATGAAGTCTTGAAATCCGTACTTGTATTTCTGGTCGTGATTTTGTTACTTCATTGGATTTGGACGCGAAGAAAAATATATAATTTTGGCCTAAGATTTCCGATTGTATTTGGTTTCCCAATAATTGGTTCGTTACACAAATTAAAAAACGTTGACAGTAAGTGGACACTATTATCAGTAGTTCTGTAACATATTTCTTATACGTTTTTAAAGATTTAATGACAGCGTTCGGCGAAATCTTGAATGCCTGCAAAAGTCATACCGTTTGCTTTTGGTGGGGATTATTTCCAGTCATATTAACAGCTGATCCAGATATTGCTTTAAATGTTTTTCGTTCCCAAGAATTACTTAACAAAGCAAAAATACTATACTATCCAGTTCGTCATGTATTTAAGGGTGGATTAATTGCAAGTCCTGGTAATATACAAAAATAATGCAAGAGATAAAAGTTATTTAAAAAATATTTTACATAAGCAACTGAATGGGTCCATAATCGTAAGATGATTAATCCATCGTTTACAAATAAAGTACTTGTAAGTTTCTTTCCAATATTTAATAAAGCCAAGGACGATCTGATAGAAAGATACAGCGTTCTCGTGGATAATAAGGAACACAAGATTTTAAAGTCGTTACAAACATTGAGTTTAGGCATAACCGTAGGTAAAAAAGTGTTAACTGGTTATAAAAAAGGTTAAGTTATAACAAAAATGATCAAATAATTTATTTAGAAACAACAATGGGTAAGGTGATGTACAGAGGTGAACAAGTATCGAAAGGCTTAGCGCCTTTATATTCTTTGTAAGGTCATTTTGTAAAGTTACGTTTATATATAAATAAATAACATTTCTGTCACAGTGTGATGAATATTCTTTCGGCTAAAATATTGATGTCTTTTTTGAAACTCGGTTTTATATTGGAGCTGTATCCTAAATTTAGAAAAAAGAGGGAACAAATATATCAGTTCGTGAATGAAGTTAGAATTTTTTACTATTACTTAAACTATATAAAACGACTAACAAATATTTTAGTTAATTCAAGCTAAGCTAAAAAGAGGTATAAATACAAGCAATAACAACTCAAATACGGAGACAAGTGATCTTAACAACATAGCCTCAAATTCTGCAATACCTTCAATACGGAAAGAACCAAAAATATTTATTGATCAAGCTATAAAATTATACCAAAATCAACAATTTACATGGAATGACATAATTAGTGAATCCATTACAATTGTTTCAGCTGTGAGTTAATATGTCAAATTTAACAAGAATAATATATACACAATTTTGTTTTTAGTCATTCGAGACCTCTGCTAATGCCGTCTACTCTACTCTTGTCATGTTGGCAATGCATCCAGAAGAACAACAGCGATTATTTGAAGAAATTTTAGATGTGTTCCCAGAGAAAGACTTTTATGTTGACTTTGATCAATTAAACCAACTGCCATATTTGGAGCTCGTAATAAATGAAACGCTTCGCTTAGCTCCTTCAGTTCCCTTAATAGGACGTCACGTCATGAAGGATACTCAAATCGGTGAACATGTTTTTCCCAAAGATAGTCAAATATTAATTTCAATATTTCATCTTCATCGGAGGACTGATATTTGGGGTCTAAATGCAGATAAATTTGATCCAGAACGTTTTTCAATAGAAAATTTTGAAGAAAAGCAGAAAAATGCCTATATTCCCTTCTCAAAAGGGCTTAGAAATTGCATTGGTAAACTGTGATAAATCTAATATAAATATATATCTGATTGGCTATGTTTTGTTTACAGGATGGCGATATGCTTTATATACAATAAAAGTCTTGTTATGTGGACTCATACGAAACTATAAATTTGAAACTGATTTTAAATTCGAGGATTTAAAGTACACCAGTAATGTATCATTGAAATACATATTAGAACCTGAGTTAAGGTTAAGTAGAAGATCGGAAGATATTATAAAGTAACTCGTATTGTGTCTGTGTATGTACGCTCTCAAATGGAAATAAAATAAATTAATATTCTCATAAATTAAAACTTTGCATTTGATTAAATTAAAAAATTTAGCCAAACGATATTGTAAGAATATATAATTAATTTAAAAATAGTTGTCCAGATAAATATTCTCCTAATACAGAGATCTTGGTTTCTGTTTAGCTTTTGATATCAATGCTTGTTGTTTCAAGAGTTTTTCTGCTGAAAGTCTTCTATTTACCTTATTCATTGCATGCATTTGAATCATTATTTCTATATTAAATAATTTTTTTAAATCGTAAAAAAAAGCAATATGATCATTGCATAATTACTGTACAGAAGATATACAGAATTATTTTCAGGAAATAGTTCCAAAGCAATGAGTCTTTGGTATGTGTCGAAATACTTTAATGGTAAACTTCGCACCCATGCTTACGCTACACTAACATGTTGAAGTCGGAAACCAAACTAAGGTTGTCTTTCTTAGTTAAGTATTTGTGGCAAGAGATCGCCTTACTCATAATCTTAGTGTTTCTGACTTTATGTCAATATTTATGATCTGTGTTCATAGAGTTTTTAATACTTTTAGCAAGAGTATTGTTAATTTCACTTAACAAAAAGGAATTCAAATTTCCATATTTGCCACATCAACCAATTATTGAAAAGCTTATTAGTATGCGCTATAATATCTGTCGCCCTACTTTCTTCTCAACTGCAATTAACATTTTTCCCGAAGCTTTCATAGCCACTAAAGTGAAGAATTTTGCTATTGAGATCCGCATCCTTTTCATCTACACGTTTCGGTGTCCTGATAACACTTTTTAGTGTTGTATTTTGATTCCTTTCTGGTAACACTGTTCTACTACCAATATTTTGTGGAGAAAATTATAAAGTATTTCGCGAAAAAGTGTTAATAAAATCTGTAAGAATGAAATTACTCATTTACATAATACCATAGAATATTATAAATATAGGAATATATCTTACTTAAATATTAAACCTTCATCTTTTAGACAATTTTGACTTAACAACTGAAAAGCAATGCAATTAATTTTCTATTGATATTTTACGTTTATCTAAAAGTGCTTTTTCAATTACAATTGCAAGTTTTGATAGAGTTCTAGGACACAAAAGAAAATGACTCAATATATTAAGATATCAAATCCAGAATTAGACCATAAAAGTCTAACATAAAGTCCATTTAGAGCTTTCAACAACAGACGGATGCAGGCTACGTATGGTAGACACAGAAACATTCTAGTATATCGTAAAGACTGTTCTGCTGAAACATAATATAAAAGAAGAAGCTTCCACAAAAAACTGATCCATCAAACGATGTGGGTAAATATGGATATGGAAAAGCTTAAGATTTTTCCGTATACAAGTGAAAGTAATGTTTCGAAATTATGTATAGAGCTTGATACAATAGTCTCTCACTCCATGCAATTTCACAACCAGTAAATGCTAACTATATATTGCTAACTATATATTAAGACTACGAGTTGATTTAATTTTAGGTTCAAACATTAAATTGTTTACGTCAAATACCATCAACTCAAATTATATTAACAATAAAAAATAATACCCGAAAAATTAACAATTTTGGTTCTAAATAAGTTATTTTATTCATATATATGGAAGCGAAGGTGGACTTATTTCAAGTAAAGGTAAGGAAATTTAATAAATCAATAAAAAAGTAAATAATTGAATAAAATTAAAACCTCTAAATTTTTTAAATGCAACTGAATGGGCCCACAACCGTAAGATGATTAATCCATCATTTACAAACAAAGCATTGGTTAGTCTTTTTTCAATATTTAACCCATTACAACCCCGTACCAGATGCCGTGGACCGATTTAAAATTTTAAGCATTTTGGGTCAATGTATTCGAATGAAAGGTATGGATATATAAAATAGGGCTTATTGATTATTGAAATTAACATTTATTTTTTTAAATATTTTATTTCAATAATTTTTTTTATTTAATTGAAACCTTATCTAATTTCGGAGTTCAGTGAAAGTGTCTCCCATTTGGATCCAGATAATTGGAATAGAATTTCCTTTAATCTGTTTTCTTAAAATTAACCATATATTCACACAAAAAATAATAAAAATAATATAAACAATAACTATTATATGCCAAGACATATACTCGATTAAAGTGCTGGTAAGGAAAATTACCAGTCGGGCCGAAATGCGATAATAAAGCTATAAATAATTTAATAGACAAATTTGGCGCGCTAGTGGATAACAAAAATCACAAAATATTAAATATGTTACAGACCTGGACTTTAGAAATAACTATAGGTAATAATGTCATTGCAACAATGACTGTAAGATTAATACTTTATTATCAGAAACGACTATGGTAAGGTGATGTATAAAGGTGACGAGATGTCGAACATTTGGGCAGTTAAGGTTTCTTTGTAAGTTTCTCAAGGAATTATTTCAATATCTAACTATTTTATATATAATTGAACTTAAACAATGTGAATACTGTCATAAAACTTACAATGATCCAAACGTTGCTTTGTAAAACTCGATTCAATACTGAATTTCTACATAAAATTCAGAAGAACGAAAGAAGAGTTATATTGAATCGTTTAAAATCTGTACTTATTGAGATTAACATCGAAATTGTTTCTTTCATTATTACTTAATTAATAATGATAAAATATGCAAATTTATAAATTCAGTTCTCAGATTGAGTGAGTATTTGGGATCGAGAACGTTTGTTTCACACAAATACACAGCTTTGAGTTCAGTACATCGAAACTTTAGGAACTTTAAGAAAAAAAAATATATATATGTATATTATTTCTATATACTATAATATACATGTTTATATATAATTAATATTAATATTACCAGTATTTGAATATAGACTACTGTTCCGAGGGCGTATACAGTTGAAACTGAAAGCAAAATGTCTCAACATGACTTGAACTTACAAAAAATTTTCTGTATTGAATTCGTCTTTTTTATATATTATATATAAGTTTATACGTATAATGTATTTATCACAATGAAATTACTTAGATTACTGAACGCAATCTAAAATTAAAGTGCCAAACACGCATTTTAATATAATATTAAAACCGACAATATAACATATTATCGTGTAACAAACAGGGGCAAGAGATCAAAAAAATTGTACAATAAATTATGTTTTGTTGTACATTAATTCTAATAAGCTTCTAAGCAACTGGAGACGACAAATTATTTTTTTTCGCAAATGACACATCCAAAGATCAAAAACATGTATTACACAGCCATATTAAACTATTTGTAAAACTTAAAAGGATGACCCATTCAGCTTATGAAGAGCATAAAATTGTTTATTCTTCAACTTTAATTATTTTAACTTTTCGTATAAATTTCAAACAACTTCTCCAGTCGAGAGTAATACAGTTTCTGAAATTGAACGAAATAGTACATAATTATGGAATCACTAAAAACATATGAAGTCTTGAAATCCGTTCTTGTAATTCTGGTCGTAATTGTGTTACTTCACTGGATTTGGACGCGAAGAAAAATATATAAGTTTGGCCTGAAATTTCCGATTGAATTTGGTTTCCCAATAATTGGGTCGTTACACAAAATAAGAACTGTAAACTGTAAGTGTTAATTATACTTATATATCTGTAATATATGTCATCTACTTTATTTAAGCTGTAGTAAGCGGGCTTGGACAAATTATGAAAGACTGCAAAAGTCATACCGTTTGCTGCTGGATAGGATTATTTCCAGTAATATTGACAGCTGATCCAGATATTGCTTCAAGCGTTTTGCGTTCTAAAGAACTGCTTAACAAATCGAAAACAATGTATTATCCACTAGATCTTACATTTAAAGGTGGATTAGTTGCAAGTCCAGGTAAAATACATACAAAAATAAATTATGTATTAATATTTATATGAAGTTATATAAAAAATGTTTTACATAAGCAACTCAATGGGTCCATAATCGGAAGATGATTGATCCGTCGTTTACAAATAAGGTACTTGTAAGTTTCTTTCCAATATTTAATAAAGCTAAAGACGATCTGATAGAAAGGTACAACGTTCTCGTGGATAATAAGGAGCACAAGATTTTAAAGTCGTTACAAACATTGACTTTAGGCATAACCGTAGGTAAAAAAGTGTTAACTGGTTATAAAAAAGTTTAAGTTATAACAAAAATGATCAAATAATTTATTTAGAAACCACAATGGGTAAGGTGATGTACAGAGGTGAACAAGTATCGAAAGGCTTAGCGCCTATGTATTCTTTGTAAGGTCATTTTGTAAAGTTACGTTTATATATAAATAAATAAAATTTCTGTCACAGTGTGATGAATATTCTTTCGGCTGAAGTATTGATGTCTTTTTTGAAACTCGGTTTTATATTGGAGCTGTATCCGAAATTTAGAAAAAGGAGGGAACAAATATATCAGTTCGTAAATGAAGTAAGTATTTTTTACTATTTCTTGAACTATATAAAACAACTAACGAATATTTTAGTTGATTCAAGCTAAGCTAAAAAGAGGTATAAATACAAGCAATAACAACTCAAATACGGAGACAAGTGATCTTAACAACATAGCCTCAAATTCTGCAATACCTTCAATACGGAAAGAACCAAAAATATTTATTGATCAAGCTATAAAATTATACCAAAATCAACAATTTACTTGGAATGACATAATTAGTGAATCCATTACAATTGTTTCAGCTGTGAGTTAAGATGCCCAATTTGATAAGAAAATTGTATGTTAAACTATTTTTAGGCATTTGAGACCACTGCTACTTCTGTTTACACTACTCTAGTTATGTTGGCAATGCACCCAGAAATACAACAGCGATTATTTGAAGAAATATTAGATATGTTCCCAGAGAAAGACTTTTATGTTGACTTTGATCAATTAAACCAGCTGCCATATTTGGAGCTCGTAATAAATGAAACTCTTCGATTAGTTCCTTCAGTTCCCCTAATAGGACGTCACATCATGAAAGATACAGAAATCGGTGAACATGTTTTTCCCAAA